CTTCAGTAGAATGGGACCTCCACCGCCATGTACGACGTGGGAGACTCTGCTTGCGTCACTATCCATCGTCACCGCACCGCTCACTGGATATCCAAGAATTCAGTGAAACTGTTGAAACCCAGAAGAAAACTCCCAAATGGCTTTTAGCACAATGTAGGCAGACGGAAAATTGGGTGCGAAGTGAAGCGGACCCCGCGTGCTGACAAAGAAGCCTGGTAGACCAGTAGGGATCAAAAAATGGAGGAACCAAGAGATGTAGGCACTTTTCGCAAGCTCTTCCAGCTGATCCGCACTACCGGTAACAAGAAACCGGGTATCAGATAGACAATCAGAGACAGCGCGGGTGGTATGATTCACAATAAGGACCGCCGTATGGCTCGTTGGTCGGAACACTTTCAAGAGAAGTTCAGTTGGCCCATTGCTCCTGGACGACTTCCTTCTCAGGTGGTACAGGCTGAGTCATGGCCGGTTAGTTTAGAGGCTCCATGGGAGGCTGAGATCCGAAACACGATCACAGCCCTCAACCGTTTTCGAGCTGCTGGCCCGGATTCCCTCCCATCTGCACCACTTAGAGATGGTGGTGAGGTCTTCTGCAAAGCACTGAACTCTCTGTTCGATCAGGTCTGGAACAGACCGTCCCGGCTAACTGGATTGAATCGATTATTGGGGCGATATAAGAGGTCAGTCGCACAGACTGCGCTAACCACAGAGGTATTAGCTGAGTACCAGTTGTGATAAAATTACTGGTCTCAATTCTTGTTCGTCGCCTCCTTGCGGAGCAAGAATGACGGAGTAGAGAAGAGCAGTCAGGCTTCCGCCTTGGACGGTGCTGCATGGACCATACATTAACTTTGCGGCAGGTGCTAGAGCAGCGCAACGCATACCGCAGACCGATAATAGCTGTGTTTCTCGATTTCAAGAACGCCATGGATTCAATCGATTCTGTTCGACTTAATTGCGCGGAAAGGTGTTCCACGAAATATGTGAACATCCTTCGTGCTCTATACTCGAACACTACAGACCGCGTCAGGGTCTACGGTGGCCTATCGGATAGCTTTCCGACCATAAATGGCGTCCGTCAGAGCTGTATGAATTCCCCCTTTTTGTTCGATTTCGTCGTGGACTCTATCATGGAGTGTGCCCTTACGGAATCTCACGATGCAAGCGTTGGGGTGCCATTTGGTGGAAAGCTAGTTGATCTTGATTGTGCGAACGATATCCTCTTAATTCTCGACGATGCCGCTGCGGCACAATCAACCCTGAATACCCTGTCTAGTGTGGTCCCATTATTTGGTATGCGCTTCGCACCTTCAAAGTGCAAAGTGTTGATGCAGGACCATCAGCCACTTGATGACCCCTTGACTCTTGCTAACGAGGAATTCGAGGTGGTTGATCAATTCACTTATCTTGGCAACTGCATCAGCAATGATGGGCACATAGAAACTGACGTCAGCTCACGCATCGCAAAAGTCAGAGCTGAGACTGTATTTAAGAGCGAGTAGAAAGGTTTCTGTACAACTCTATCGAATTACGAAAAATCAAAATTTACTTGTGAATTATCAGCAGTTGTGTCTGGTCCGTTAATCGTTTATCCGTGTTCGGTTAGAAATTTGTACTAGCGTTATTATTTCCGGACATACAATGTCTTCTTTTGGCACTGTATGTGCCTCGTTTCACAAAAGCACAGGTTTCCAAAATAATCGTCGATACGGGTTTTAAAACACTTCACAGAATCGGCCTCTATTAATCCTTCTGGTAGTGTATTCCATAAGTTTACGATTCTTCGTTCGATACAAAGCTGATGTGATACTTTGTTCATGCTGGGGACCCTGAGTTTGTAACGATGTCCTCGGGTGTTACAGGGTTCTCGCAGGTGAAATATTGGCCGCAGTATGGGGAAGTGATTCAAGTGTAGTACTCGATGGGTCATAATAAGATCAATTCTTACTCGGCGATAGGATAGTGTGTAGAGCCCGAGCTTTTCACAACGTTTTTCATATGGAAGCTTTCGTAGACTTGGTATCATTCTAGTTGCGATATGCTGTATTTTCTCCAGTTTTTCAGTTTCCCATTGAGTTATCGGATGGTAAGCTGGGGCACCGTATTCAAGGATTGGTCTAATGAGCGAGGTGAATAGACGAGGGACGGTTTCTTCGGACCATGTGGAGAAACTGCGTCGTAATGCCCAGAGCATACGAAGTCCCGCACGGTACAATTTCTCTGTATTTTCTAGTGATCTTAAATCATGTCGTGAGAGAACTCCTAAGTCTCTGACAGATGTGTTGGGATGGAGCAACTGGCCGTCCAAGGTGTATGATCGAGTGGCTGGACGTCTGGTGATACTGATGAACTCCGACTTGCTTGCGTTAAGAGGGAGTTGCATTTCAGTACCTTCTTGAATCTGCGGCACCTTTGGCTACGGAAGGGAGTTTCCCTCCGTCTGCAAGGCCATGTATACAAGGTCACAGTTTGGGCCGTCCTGCTCTGTGATGGTGAAAGTTGGCCCCTTCGGTCTGAAGATCTGAGACACCTTCAAGTATTTGGTCATCGTTGTCTGCGAAGCATTGTTGGTGTCGGATGGCACCAACGTATGCGCAACGATGATGTGCGTAGGCAAGTACTAGGTAGTGATAATCATGCTAGCTCGGTAGAACAAAATATAGCAGATGAATAAAATGTGTTGGCTTGGGCACGTGCTACGTATGCCTCGTCACTGTTTACCTAGAAGGGCGTTGTTTAGTCTGCCAGGTGTAGGATGGCGCAAGGCTCGAGGTGGACAGAAATTGACTTGGCAGCGGGAAATGAAGTCACTGAAGACAAACTCGGTACCGTTGGTCCTTCGCGCCTTCCGGGCTGGAGTCCACGTGACTCACCCTGTGTTTGGTCCGAGACTTTACAGGACATGGCTCGTAACCGAGATCAGTGGCGCGTCTGCTGCCGTCTCCTAATCGAATTTCCTGTTTATAGTGTGTTTGATGCTGTTATTTGCGGGCAATGGTTGATTATGACGCAAGACAGTGAGAGCCGCAAAGAAGCTGTCTCGTTGATGCCGCCTTTGAGCGACAGCCAGCTGCTTGTGACGGTATATTGCTGACAAAATGTGCAGGCGTCTGACCCTAACTGTTTGTGTAGGGCATTAGGTTTTTACCCCTTCTCTCCCTCTTATTGTTCTTCGTTCCGTAGGACACCGTGGTTGCACGACAGCGAAGCATCAGTTCGAGTGGTTAATGTATTGTTGTCGATGGTGACGATGAATATGAGATACTTTAGGCTCCCATACACCCGTCGTTGTTGATGTAGCTAGCCAGACAGGTGAACTGAGTGGCAAACACATGTGCCACACCGTCGGGGCACGAAAGGGCCAGCAAGTGATTGGTGGTCCAGTAGAAACAGTTAGTATTTTTATGGTGTCAGATGACAGCACTGCAGCAGAATGCATTAAGCACTATCGCGATTCCCATTTAGCAAGATGATATCGTCCGTGTTATACAGCCCACATGTCTCCACCGAGCAGCATCTCTAGACACGTATTGCAAAATCTCACAACGGGAAATTTCATGATTGGATCACTCCCAGCAATGCATCTGCGAAAGAATGCGACGATGGAGAGTGAAAAGGTGTAGATAAACCGATAAAACGTTCAGATTGACTAGGGGAAGTAACCCATAAAAGTTATTCAAATGTCAGAAGTACACAAAAACCCAAAAAACCGGTTAGGAGCGAATCGCAGACCAAGATCTAACAGCAACAATGGAAAAGTATGGTGTTAATTCGGACTTCTATACAATTTCACAGACACCAAACTTTTAGCGTGGCATATTTTCGAAATCGCGTGCTGTGCATTCAAGTTCGCGAGGCTAAGAACGCTGTTTTGGCGGCGTTGGACCTTCTCATAAGTCATGGAACGTTAGCCAACGGGACACCGGTTGGAAGTTCCGAGCATAAGCGACAAACAGTCCAATGAAAGCGGTCGAGCACCACTTCTGTGCTGCCCTGATGCGCGTCTGAAGAAAACCCCGATGATTTCTCTCCAAACTGAAACCGTCCAATGGGCAACTTGTGATGCCTGTCTAAGGAAGAGATCCTAGCTACCACATGATCCGAAGCTTACGCTGTAACCAGTGCGGACAAACATAAAACCACCACATGAAGCGGTCTATACTTATTGATCGCTAGCCGCTACCTGGTGGTGGTTTATTTCAGCGGCCTAACCATGGTTACGATGGTGGCGTAGACAGGCACTCTTCTAACTCGTATTCCACAGTCCCTTAGGTCTGAGGGATTCAGGCAGGCCTGCATTTGTTTGCGCCAGTTGCTCTTTTCTTGTGCTAAGCAAGATGGATTCTGCTGGGCCTCGTGACAAGTTTCAGTTTGGTTAGCTTGCATACACGGCGATTCGCTGGCAGCTTCCCTGATACGTATCGATATCATTCGATCTAGCACCCGCCTATTACCACGCTCTCGTCTAACGACTGCTGTCCGTCTGAGCTAAAGTGTTACTTATGACCGATTGGGAAGCCTATGAATGAGTTTGGTAGGTCAAGTGCAACTAGTTAAGCTAAGAAATAGTTGGTGCTGTAAACTAAGTTTGCAGGCTACAGGCTACCAACGCAAGTGAAGGAAGCAAAGTCAAATTTCGTGTGCCTTATGTAGCAAGTACTCCATACGTCACGAAAAGAATGGAGACGAAACGAAAAAAGAACCAGAAAGGCAGGTAACTCGAGAACTGTGTGCAGTCCCTCGAATAGAAAACGTCTCATAACGCAGCGAAGGGAAGTACTTTGGGCGGCGTGTTGACGAGTTTAAGTTATGGACGCCAATGAGACAGGGCGAGTTCATGAGCTGCGAAATCGGTCCCGCGTCGTCGGACTATGTAAAAATTCTTGAAATGAAGATAATGTATCAACCGGCTTACAGACGGCAGTATTAAGGGTTCAACGGCAGAAACCTGCGAAATAAATAGAGATCAATTGGTAAAAATAGCGGAGGTGGATACTTACCCCTTGGGACACGCTGTTCCGGGGTTCTGGTCTAAAAATCGACCCAGGTAACCAGTGAAGTTGTCGGCCGACGGACGCCCATCGATCAATTCCACCGGGCACGTAACACATGCGTCCAAAGGTGCAGTGTCTGGACAAAAGTCGGTCAAATTTGGATACATTCGACAACAGTATGGCGAGCCGTCAGGATCGATCCAATCGAAGTAGTCATCGATCCAAGAGGATGCCGGCTGAGCAACCCACGAGCTGATGAGAATAGAAAGTAGAGTGGACTCAGAGCGGAAACTTAGAACCGCTAATGTATAAGACGTGTTGATAAGCCGTATCAACGTGTCCGTCGGCCGCCAAGAGATAACGAATGTGATGTTGCAATGTGGACCAAAAAGTGTCTAAAGCCAGGTGTTTCACTGATTATCGAACGGTTACGCAGTTCAACTGATAACGCTGAGTCAATTCGATCGGCTGACATGAAATTAACCGCTTCTAGCTCATGCTAGTTACAGTGGAGCAAAGAGTAGCACCGTTAAGCATTCAACAAGGTATTTGAAAGCACCATACAGCAATCGTGGCAATTTTGGACTTGTAATATGTCCTAGATTTGATTAGAAAACAATGCATGAGCCATAATACACTATCTTCTTCATGGTATGTCGCAGTTCGAGAAGGTGAAAAGTTCGAGTAATTAAATACAATGGCAAGACAGAGAGAGGGAACTATCCGTTAAAACATTCACGGAATCACCACCAAAAGAATGCCACGATTCCAGCCCAAACGAGGAGCTACCATCTGGCAGGTATGCGAGTTTATTATTGCATAGAGATACATCTATCATTTCTCCCGCAGATAGAATCACAGGCACCATTCACCCAAGAAATGAAGAAGGTAGATTGACAACTAAGATATATATATATATATATCGATTAGTAATATATAGGAGAAATGAATCAATAATGGTTCCACAACATGGTCCGTTTCCCTACATATATCCAAAGTAGGTGCGATGTGGTAATGCGGTTTCCTGACTCTAGAGCCAAAAAGGCAAGTACGATCAGTTGGCAGTGTTCATCACAAGCACGAAGCCGCATGGTGAACCGTTGAGGTAGTCCAGA